CATGCCAGCTGGGCTCAATCACATTTTTTAAAGACCTGAATTTCTGAATCAACGATCAATGTTTATGAACCTTACTAGTTTGTTCATAATTTCATTGTGGTCTTTAATGCATTTATAAACAAGTTTCCTTGTTTGTCCCCAAGGACAAAAGTGTTTTATACAGGATTATACCTCCTTCATTTCTGTACTCCCAACACTTAACACAGTGCCTGCTACAAAACCGGTGTTGGATAAACTAACCTATATTGCCTATTAGTGAATAAAGTTATGGTAACTTTTCTATTACTAAGAATTTTAAAAAATGCTATGCTTAACTGTGTAAAAGGACTTAACATATTTTCCAAGAAAAACAGAAATCATGCTGAAACTCCTTTGTTTTATATTTATAAACCCACTTTCTTCTGGTCAGTCTTTGTCAGTTAGCCTTGAAACTTAAAGTATTGGAAAGTTGCCTGTCTTCTCCCCTTCTAGTACTGCCCATTTGTTCTTTCCTCAAAAATTCATCACATCTTATTCATTGTTCCAGTTCAACATATAAATGCACATACTTGAAAGTAACTCAATACCCAAATATACTAAAATTATAATTGTTAGGCTAATTAAACTAAAAGATGAAGTTGAGGTTTTTCATGTTTTTCTTAATAAAGGGGGAAAGTGGGAAAAGATGTAAAAGGCTGGCAGGAAACAAATTCAATTTGCTGATTAAAGACAACATTCAAATAAACAAATGCAAAAAGTGTTGTTGTTGTTTTTTTAATCTGCTGGTCTTGCCACAGCACCAGTTAAAAGCAACGTCTTGGATTTTAAATAGTGATGTCTAATATTCAATTGTACATCATTTTTATAGCCCACACCCCCGCCCCTGGCCTCAAACTTAAGTCAAGTCCGCTTCAAACACAAATTCCTTGGGTGAGGACTTTAAAAATATAAAATTGGAAACCAAGGAACAATCACCATCTGTCAGACTTGATGCATGTAGTACAAAGCAGGGACATGGATGTGAGTCAGGAAGGTAATCCACAAATAGACCAAACCCCATGGAAATCAGAACCAGAGAGGAAGACGTGAATGGCATGTGGATTGAGCCAATTGTTTGTCTCTCAGATGACAGACACTTGAATGAACACCTAGATTACATGGAAGTGAAAGAAACATCAAGAAAAATGTTCTAAGACTATAACCTTAAAAATGAAGTATAGGTGGAACATAATGTTTGGTAGAGAGCTTTGGAGCCTCCACCATTCATTTATATAGGACGAAGGTGACACTGTCTTTGTGGGGCTCCAGAAGGAGGAGTTGGCTCCTCCCACAGGACCTGCTGAGTCCAATTGGGGGTACAGATGGAAGTAGTGCAGAGTTTTATTCAGTCTTTTTTAGATTTCTTCATTTTTATTAGATGATTTCAATCCTGTTTTGTTTTTTGGGGGTTTTTTGCTTGTCTACAGATATGTGCAAAAAAATAAGACTAGACCACCTTCTTACAGCATACACAAGAATAAACTCAACATGGATTAAAGACTTCATAGTAAGACTCAAAACCATAAAAATACTAGAAGAAAACATAGGCAGTAAAATCTCGGACAATTCTCATAGCAATATTTTTTCTGATATAGCTCCTCAGGCAAGGGAAACAAAAGGAAAAATAAATAAATGGGACTACATCAAACCAAAAAGTTTTGCACGGTGAAGGAAACCAACAATAAAATGAAAAAGGCACCCCACTGAATGGGAGAACATATTCTCCAATAATACATCTATCTGATAAGGAGTTAGTATCTAAAGTTTATAAAGAACTTTTACAACTCAACACCAAAACAAACAATCCAATTAAAAACTGGGCAAAGGATTTGAATAGACACTTCTCCAAAGAAGATATACACATGGCCAATAGATATATGAAAAGATGTTCAACAGCACTAATCATCAGAGAAATGCAAATTAAAACCACAATGAGATATCACCTCACACCTGTCATAATGGCTATCATCAATAAATCAACAAACAAGTGTTGGTGAGGATGTGGAGAAAAGGGAACTCTAGTGCACTGTTAATGGGAATGAAGATTGGTTCAACCACTATGGAAAAGAGTATGGAGTGTCCTCAAAAAATTAGAAATGGAATTGCCTTATAACCCAGCAATTCCACTTCTGGGAATATAGCTGAAGAAACCCAAAACATTAATTCAAAAGAATATATGCACCCCTATGTTGATTGCAGCATTATTTACAATAGCCAAGATATGGAAACAACTCAAGTGTCCATCAACAGACAAGTGGATCAATCTATTTTATTTTAATCAATAACTCACTCTGTACTCCAGAACCATGCCAGAGAATATGACCCCATATATTATAGTACCCTTAACTCTTATCAAAATCAAAGGTACAAAAAGCAACATTCCCAAAAGATGAGAGCCTAAAATATATGTAATTCACCTAGATCTTAACCCTAGACCAGTGATGGTGAACCTATGACACGCGTGTCAGAGGTGACATGCGAACTCATTTTTTTGGTTGATTTTTCTTTGTTAAATGGCATTTAAATATATAAAATAAATATCAAAAATATAAGTCTTTGTTTTACTATGGTTGCAAATATCAAAAAATTTCTATATGTGACACGGCACCAGAGTTAAGTTAGGGTTTTTCAAAATGCTGACACGCCAAACTCAAAAGGTTCGCCATCACTGCCCTAGACTAAGCCAAAACATCATTCATTAAGATGAAATAAAAAATTGAACACTGTTTTGGATATTTTTTCAACAGGCTCCTCTATTCCTATAAAATTGCTCTTACTAAATTAAACTTTGTTGTGATGTCCTATGCTTACTCACTATTGATTTTATGGGTGACGTATATTGAGGACGTTGCCTCTCACACCTCACTCAGCGAGCCCTTCATAAGCTCCATGAGAAAAGCTATCCTCAGACCTTCAGCGCAAGAGCTGTGCCTCTCCTAAAATGACACATTCTTATTTTATAGACCAGGCAAGTCTCATGAGTACCTGCCAATGTTAGAAAATGTTATTAAATTGATCTGATTAATGTTTCATTTTTATTTTAGATTTTAAAAATCTCTTCTGACATGAATTAAAATAACACCATGAAAGACCCACTGTTACAGTGGAATGCTTTAAGTTGAATATACAGGGTGGGGCAAATGTAGATTTACCGTTGTTCAAATGGAAAATAATATAATTGTAAATAATAACGCAAGAATAAACTCTGTGTTTTGTGTAGTCACAAATGTACTGGCAAACCTACTTTTGCCCCACCTGTGTGTGTGTGTGTGTGTGTGTATATATATATATACACTTTCTCTATTTTCAGGGAGATGAAACCAAGGCTTCTGTGGTTTTCTATCTTCTTAAAAGGATCAGGTTTCCTAGAAGGTTCCAAAGGGGCTAACAAGGAAGCATAGGAGCCTTAGTAACTGGATCACCTAGTTTTACTATGTCACATCAGCTTATCTTTTATAGGTGTAACCTATCAGTTGGCTGCCCTTGACCAACTTAGGTCCTCAGTCTTTTTTTTTTCCAATTACATTTGACATTGAAAATTATTTTATATTAGTTTCAGGTGTATAGCATAGAGGTGAGACATTTTTATAATTTGTGAAGTGTTCCTCCCAATAAGCCTAGTACGCACCTGGCACCACACCCAGCCTTCTTAATTAATGATGCCTGGCCTGAAACGGTCTAACATCACCATGTGCCTGCTTTTGTCTGGCACCCATCTCTGTCCTGTGTCATCTTCCTCCAAACTGCACCACCAACCACACCAGCTGCCTCTACCCTCATCAATCTGGCAAACAGAAAGAAATGAGCTAAAAAGAAAGCAAGGCTTACAAATCTATGAGGGGAATAAATCCCAAAACTCAGTTTGGTTATTTAACAAGATACATTCTAAAAATCCAAGTTGCACCATGTTTGAATTCATGCATTATATTTAGGACATAAAATACAAGTAACATATTTTCAGATACATTGACTTCATTAGGAGTTAATATTCTAGTAAATATGTTCTCTTTTCTCTGGTTATTTAACTTTAGAAAAATCTATCCTGAAATAAACAATTTAAATATTATCTGTAAAAAAGCTGTTATTCTCAAGCCACACAGTACATATATGCACTTGCCATCATTGTATAGGTATAAGGAAAATAAATTCTAATATAAACTCGAGACATTAATAGAAAAATAAATATGCTTTCAAAAACAACTCTCAACTGAACTGAATTATTTAAGAACTGTTATTTCAGATTATCGAAGCTTCTGCATAGAAATGGTCATTCAAGAGTTACTTCCTGCCCTAACCAGTTTGGCTCAGTGGATAGAGCATCAGCCTGTGAACTGAAGGGTCCCAGGTTCGATTCCTGTCAAGGGCATGTACCTTGGTTGCTGGCTCAATTCCCCAGTAGGGGGCGTGCAGGATGCAGCTGATCAATGTTTCTCTCTCATCGATGTTTCTAACTCTCTATCCCTCTCCCTTCCTCTCTGTAAAATCAATAAAAATATTTTTTTTAAAAAAAGAGTTACTTCCTAACTCATTCTATGAGGCCAGCATTATCCCAATACCAAAACCAGACAAAGATACTACAAGGAAAAAAAATCAAAAACCCACTACAGACCAATATCTCTTATGGATAATGACGTAAAATCCTCAACAAAAGACCAGCAAAGAAAATTCAATAACATATTAAAAGAATACACCATGACCAAGTGGGATTTATTCCTGTATTGGAAGGATGGTTCAACATATGAAAATGTAATTCACCACATTAACAAAATGAAAGAAAAAACCATATGATCTCAATCTATATAGAAAAAGCATGTGACAAAATTTAATGCCCTTTCATGCATAAAACACTCAACAAATTAGGATTAGAAGGAAACTATATCAACATAAGAGTTTCTGTGCTCATAAATACAATACCATGTTTAGATTAATGACTCACATCAAGGAAACTAGACTCATTAAAAATTCCCATAAGGAGTATTTACCTGCCAAAATTTTCTTGAACTGTCGAAACCATATGTTGCAGTGGTCTTCACTTAAATTAATGAGATCGAGTGTAGAATCCTTTAATTTATTTTGTTCCTTTTTCAAACAGATGAAGAGTGTGATACCCAATAAAGTGCCATGTCCACTAGCAAAATAACGCCGTTTCAGTTTGACAGAGAATATGTCCTTGAGTTCAATAAGTTCTTCTTTACATAGCAAGTCATACTTGGAATCACCTGAAAAGAAATTAAGTTTTCCAATCAAAACCACGGTGTCCATATCTCCCATGTACAAATCATAGTAAAAACCCAGAAAATCTTTCTCATTAGTAATCTTTCTAATTGTCCTTTATGTCAATCTGCATATAAGACGGGGAGGAAAGACAAGAAAAATTGGGTCTGTTTTCCCAAGAATTAAAAATAGAAAAATAGAAGACAGTCTCTGCCACTCAAGGCCTAGGACATTCCAAACCTGAGGATAAGAACATAAAGCAGCATTTCGGCAATAAAAATGAGTTTTCCACAGGAGGCTCTGAGCTGCTAATATGGGCAGAGTAAAGTAGTGGACAGAACAGACTGCACTAACAGGACTGGGTTTATGACAGGTTGCTGAAGGCAACATTTAAAAGGAAAGAAAATGTGCATTCTAGGTAAAGTAACACATGTACAAAAGAAGGCAGAGTAAGATTGTCATGATTAGAAAGTATGAATTCCTGCTGATCTAGAAAGAAGGTCCCACTGGAATGTTACCCCAATCAGACTTCGTTTTATAGAGGCTTGAAATTTTATTGTTTAACCACAGATCAGAAAATCATTATTGTAGTAAAGGACCCTTCCAATTGACTCTCAAAGTAGGAGTGTCCTTTTACTTCTGCAAAAGTACTTCTAAAACTTCTACTCTGGCCAACATTGGAATTGCAGACACTGATTTTACCTTCCGTCTGAAACAACTTAAAAAACATACAAGATAGCTGAAGCTTACGTTTTCAGATGTCATACGAGAGGTGGTGCAGGACAGTGATTGCTGAGAAAAGGGCAGCAAAGGAGCTGTATGATTGCCCCAGCTGACTGCTTGAGAGGTTTCTAGGCCACAGTAGGGCACCCATGGGAGAGCTTGTTGAATCTCTCCTGGGCTGAGAAGTTCGGAGTCTAGGAAAGCCAAGATGACCACAGTTCACTGGGCACATTACTGGAGAGGAGCGGGCTGCACAGAGAGAGAACTCTGGATCTGCAGAGGTGCCCCTTGAATCTTCAGCTGAGCGTGGATCAGCATATGTGTGAGGCCAGGGGAAGGACTGCCCAAAGGATTAAAGGGAACAATGCTCAGAGATTCCACCGGTGAAGAAATATTGAAATTCGCAGGACATTAGGGAGAGTACTTCGAAGAGTTCTGTCTCATTAGTGAGCTGACTAATGCCTGCATTCATTCCACCCAACGAATCTAAAAAGCAGGTCTCAAAAGGATTGAACTGTTTCCAAGTAACTTAACTATATTCTAGAGCAAACCTCAAGAATATTTTTAGGAATACCAAAATAATCAGTAAGTCTACATGGTAAAATTCATAATATCTCCCTGTCAATCAAAAATTACTATGAATGTAAATAAACACAAAAATACGACACGATAGGAGAAAAAGTAATCGATAGAAACCAGTGCAGAAATGACAACAGTGCTGAAACAGCCCCAGAAAGCAGAGCCTTTGCTCAGCTTCCTTAGCCCTTAAGCAGGCTCAACGATATTCTCAGACTGGAGTATTTTTATTTATTAAAAGAGTTTCCTCCACACATGCATTTTCATACTTCTATTTGGATGCTTCCTGTCTAATTTGTAGGAGCCCTTCAGATATTCTTGAAATCAATACTACATATGTCTGATATATGTTACAAATAACCTTCTAGGCTACTCTTATATTAGTTATGACCTTGTATCTCAGATAAATTTTAACTTTTTATGTAGTCAAACATATAACAAATAAGAGCTTCAAGGAAAGAAGGAAGGACATATAGAAAGAAAAAAGAAGGAAAGAAAGAAGGGAGGGAAGGAAGGACACGGAGAGGGAACAAAGAACCATTGGGAAAGGGAAAACATGGAAGAGAGAAATTCTTTTCATTCGAAGTCCTTTATGATAGTCTGAATTTTTTACAATGTGTGCTTTACTTTAATAACAAATAAGTCCCTGACTATTCCAATTTAAAACCTCTTATAAATTGCAGATTTAAAGATACTAAATCAACAGCTAAGATCAAACTTAGTAGTGAAAACAAGAATTCCTGGAAATAGGGCAAGAATACCTATTATCACTCTCATTATTCCCAATTATTCTGGACATTCTGCCCAATGCCATATGTAAGAAAAATGAAATAAAAGATGACCATTGGTGGTGGGAGGGGCACAGAGGGAATACATGCCTAAAAGATATAATATTATCTATAACTAGCCACTCAAGGCCTAGGACATTCCAAACCTGAGGATAAGAACATAAAGCAGCATTTCGGCAATAAAAATGAGTTTTCCACAGGAGGCTCTGAGCTGCTAATATGGGCAGAGTAAAGTAGTGGACAGAACAGACTGCACTAACAGGACTGGGTTTATGACAGGTTGCTGAAGGCAACATTTAAAGGAAAGAAAATGTGCATTCTAGGTAAAGTAACACATGTACAAAAGAAGGCAGAGTAAGATTGTCATGATTAGAAAGTATGAATCCCTGCTGATCTAGAAAGAAGGTTCCACTGGAATGTTACCCCAATCAGACTTCGTTTTATAGAGGCTTGAAATTTTAACAGATCAGAAATAATTATTGTAGTAAAGGACCCTTCCAATTGACTCTCAAAGTAGGAGTGTCCTTTTACTTCTGCAAAAGTACTTCTAAAACTTCTACTCTGGCCAACATTGGAATTGCAGACACTGATTTTACCTTCCGTCTGAAACAACTTAAAAAACATACAAGATAGCTGAAGCTTACGTTTTCAGATGTCATACGAGAGGTGGTGCAGGACAGTGATTGCTGAGAAAAGGGCAGCAAAGGAGCTGTATGATTGCCCCAGCTGACTGCTTGAGAGGTTTCTAGGCCACAGTAGGGCACCCATGGGAGAGCTTGTTGAATCTCTCCTGGGCTGAGAAGTTCGGAGTCTAGGAAAGCCAAGATGACCACAGTTCACTGGGCACATTACTGGAGAGGAGTGGGCTGCACAGAGAGAGAACTCTGGATCTGCAGAGGTGCCCCTTGAATCTTCAGCTGAGCGTGGATCAGCATATGTGTGAGGCCAGGGGAAGGACTGCCCAAAGGATTAAAGGGAACAATGCTCAGAGATTCCACCGGTGAAGAAATAATGAAATTCGCAGGACATTAGGGAGAGTACTTCGAAGAGTTCTGTCTCATTAGTGAGCTGACTAATGCCTGCATTCATTCCACCCAACGAATCTAAAAAGCAGGTCTCAAAAGGATTGAACTGTTTCCAAGTAACTTAACTATATTCTAGAGCAAACCTCAAGAATATTTTTAGGAATACCAAAATAATCAGTAAGTCTACATGGTAAAATTCATAATATCTCCCTGTCAATCAAAAATTACTATGAATGTAAATAAACACAAAAATACGACACGATAGGAGAAAAAGTAATCGATAGAAACCAGTGCAGAAATGACAACAGTGCTGAAACAGCCCCAGAAAGCAGAGACCTTGCTCAGCTTCCTTAGCCCTTAAGCAGGCTCAACGATATTCTCAGACTGGAGTATTTTTATTTATTAAAAGAGTTTCCTCCACACATGCATTTTCATACTTCTATTTGGATGCTTCCTGTCTAATTTGTAGGAGCCCTTCAGATATTCTTGAAATCAATACTACATATGTCTGATATATGTTACAAATAACTTCTTCTAGGCTACTCTTATATTAGTTATGACCTTGTATCTCAGATAAATTTTAACTTTTTATGTAGTCAAACATATAACAAATAAGAGCTTCAAGGAAAGAAGGAAGGACATATAGAAAGAAAAAAGAAGGAAAGAAAGAAGGGAGGGAAGGAAGGACACGGAGAGGGAACAAAGAACCATTGGAAAAGGGAAAACATGGAAGAGAGAAATTCTTTTCACTTGAAGTCCTTTATGATAGTCTGAATTTTTTTACAATGTGTGCTTTACTTTAATAACAAATAAGTCCCTGACTATTCCAATTTAAAACCTCTTATAAATTGCAGATTTAAAGATACTAAATCAACAGCTAAGATCAAACTTAGTAGTGAAAACAAGAATTCCTGGAAATAGGGCAAGAATGCCTATTATCACTCTCATTATTCCCAATTATTCTGGACATTCTGCCCAATGCCATATGTAAGAAAAATGAAATAAAAGATGACCATTGGTGGTGGGAGGGGCACAGAGGGAATACATGCCTAAAAGATATAATATTATCTATAACTATTTATAGATGATATCATAATATATTTGTAAAATCCAAAAAGAATCAACTTAAAATCACTAGAACTTAAAAGAACACCAGTAAGGAAGCTTTTTACAAATATATTAAGACCCAGGAAGAAGGCATAATGGAGATAAAGATATTCCATAAAAATTAGCATATTATACTTAGGAATAAATTTAACAAAATAATCCTGGACTAACGTGGAAGGGGAGAGCATTTAAAATGTACTGAGAGACAAAGAATTGAATAAAGGGGGACATACCAAGTTTCCAAGATTACATATTTTTCATGACAGTATTCTCATAACTACTTCTAATGCAATCCCACTCACAACCTCATTAGTATTTTCTTTGACATAAGGGGCAAGGGACCTAATTAAATGATTATAAACTTTATGAAATAAATATATTACATTACTGAAGAAAATGTTTTAAAGTACAGTAATGAGAGGGAGTACATACCTGATCAGATATAATCTATACTAATCTACACTAATAAAAGAGAAACATGGTAATTGGCATACGACCGCTACCCTTTTCATTGGCTAATCAGTGAGTATATGCAAATTAACTGTCAGCCAAGATGGCGGCCGGCAGCCAGGCACTGAAGCGAGCAGGGAGGCTTGCTTGCTGCAGATTCCAACGTTCCCCCGCCTCACTTGCCAGCCTCTCAGTTGCAACTCTAAGCAACTATATACTATGTTGCAAATAAGAAGCTAAACAAAACCCCAGAAAAGGGCTTCCATTCAGCCGGGCTCGGACCGCAACATTGTATCTATGTTTTCAGCAGCGAGGCCTCAGAGCTAAAGCTGGCCC